TTAACACAAAAAAAACACAAAACTAACTCCATGGCTTTAGTCCGCAAACGAACTATACCGATCGAGCGACCGCCGCTTGTCGGCGAAGTTAGTGCCAACTTTAGCGAATAGAGGTTGTTGCGTGGTTAGTGCAACGAATCCCTACGGTCGTTAATCTCGGTTTCCTTGAAATAGCTCCTCAATTATCCTCATGAGGCTGAGTGGATCCCGTTCCAGACCAACTACTTCTCAGAAAAATCTGGTATCGCCGGGAATCGAACCCGGACCTCTGGATCTCTGGGCAGTAACTCTGACCACTAAACCACAGAGGCGGTCCTGTCTTAACACAACAACTATGAAAATCTCATTCACGTTTACGGAGTATAATGAGATTATTGATATTAATGGTATGGTAGTGTGCTAGATGTTTAGGTATCATCATCGGGCAGTACACATTAACAACTGTTCACAAACTATTTAATTGCGTTTCTCATTAATTCATATATTACAATTTAACAATTATTACTAATGTATATGACTTTAAACGTATTTAATGTATTTAGTATTTTGTTCTTATAAATATATTAATATTGGAATAAAATTTCATAAAAAGTGGGTACCTATATGTTCATAAAGAAAATAAAACAATATAAAAATTAATGTTTTTAAGTCATAAAACGCCGGTCACGGTAGCCGAGCGGTCTAAGGCATGTACTGTCTTCGTTCCCTTGGAAACCAGGATCTTGGGTTCGAATCCCACTCAGGGCATGGATGTTTAGTAGAGGCCTTGCGACGAGCCGATCGCCCGCCCAAGGAGTCCTACCGAATATGTAAGATCTAGAAAAACCGAAGTGAACGCAGAAGTCCATAGAGGTAGACCTAGGCCCACTGGGGCTGTAGTGCCAAGGAAAAAAAAACACTACACATGTTGGTGTACATCACTGCAATCGTGACGCAACAGTATGCAGGTATTTATGCGTGTTGTTCTGATCGTGGTCTGTTTTGTTTTATTTCTACTCCCATTTGATTTCCTTATGGAGCAGTCGTAGTGTTCGGAACTAGTCGCTGTGATGTTCCATTCTGTTTGTTTCTATGTTTCCCTGTCTGGTTTTCTTTATTTTATGGGTTTATCCACCAATCGCGTTTCAACATCAGGTTTTATTATATGTCAGGCTGAAACTCATTTATACACTTCTAGACTTACTTACCACACAGAGCCGCGCCATAGCTCGAGCGGTTAGTCGCTGGATTCCCACCGTGGAGGCCCGGGTTTGATCCCGGGTCTGGTCAAGTGGGATTTGTGGACAAAGTGTCGCTGGGGCAGGTTTTCTCCGAGTACTTCGGTTTCCCTTGCCAATCTTTATTCCACCAATTGCTCCACAATCACCCTCACCTATCATCTGGGTCTGGTACAATAGGCCAGAAGTGGCCGCAGTACAAGGGACTTAGTCCCACCCACCTGGCAATAAAAAAATACTTACCACACATATTCCCCCCCAAATTTAGAACGTGACGAAATTTCGAATAACTATTAGGAATTTTACCGCGCTTGTCTCTCAGAATAGCAAATTACTATTATTTACAGCATAAAAATGAATTATTCCACATATATGGTCCTCTTCTACTGAGGAACAAGAGAATACAAGTGCCCCGAAGCCAGTTAACTGATAGATTCTCTTATATGGACGGAAATGTTCAGATTTAAACCTGTCAATTAACTTGTAGAACGGTATCATAGCGTTGTGAGTTGTGCAGACTATCCTGACAAAATTTTCGTTGGTTTCTTCAATCTTCACAGGACTATTCTGGGATAGTACCTTCAGTTACTTCAAGATCACTTCTTTAATTTCATTTCGAATTCTTTACTTCCTGTCTTCCAGTTATTCGACGCTGTTTAATCTGAGTTACTTAAGACATCGTTAAATAAACCACTGATAAATACTGTGGCATATAGTTCCTTTGCTAGGCAACGAACTCGAAACAAAGAGAGGATAATTGTTGCTTAACAATAGCTATGTAAATACCCAACAGTACTGGAGCAGTTGTTAGGCAGCGGCCCCGCGCACAATAATGGAAGACATGTTTTCTATGGAAGTGGGGGCAAGAGATTTTTCTCTTCTCCATAATGTCCAGACAAGCTCTGGGGTCCACCCAGTTTCATATCAAATTGGTGCCGTGGGCTCCATCCCCGGGTGGGAATGCCGGGTGCGGTGAGATCAAATTGACCACTCACCTCCACCCATGGCTGAGAATAAGGATAATGGAGCCATGCCTCTAAATCTCCCATACGCCTGCATGGCGTGGTGCTTAGTTAAATGTAGAAACAACTTAAAATTTGTTTTTAAACATAATTATAATGTCGTAGGGGGGCACGCGGTAGCGTTGTTGGTTGAGACACTATGCTACAAGACGATAGGTCGCGGGATCGAATCCCGATGAGGTCATTGGATTCTTTTCTTCAATTTACCTAATCTTTCCAGTCGCACTATGGCCCTGGGGTCGACTCAGCCTCTAACAGAAATGAGTACCAGAAATATTCTTGTGGGTAAAGGGCGGCCGACGGGTAAGGCTGACAATCTTACCGCCATCTATGAGCCGATTGTCTAGAAAATGTGGGAACCTCAACATCTCACAACCCTATGGACCTCCACGGTCTGTTACAGGGATATATTTACTTCTTTTTACATAGGTAAAGAATTCCAGACGTGACTTGTGCCAGTCTTCTCCTGTTTGCAGCAAGTCTGAATGTTAAATGGAGCGAGCGTCTGCCCACTACCTGTCATCTGCCACATTACTTTTCTGCGGAGTATCAAGAAAGAAATGCCGCTCTGGACTTAATGAAGCTTTATCTTCACCCCCCCCCCCCCNACAGCACAACTTTATTCACAACTTAATGCTCCTCTTTGCATCTCGCCGGACTTTTCTTTGTATTAAATTGTGCCATTTCCTTCAATTTAAAATTCGTGCCAGAGCGGAGAATTGCGACTGTGTGGATGGGGATCAAATATTAAAATAGACCTTAAAGAAATAAAAGCCCGAGGTTGTGCACTGGATTCATCTTAGAATAGTTGCCTGGAAGTAGTTTCATGTGAACTTCTTCATTGAAATTTTGCTTCCATTAGAAAATTTGTTTCAGTAGGTCAGCAACTGCGCTACTCTCGAGAAGGGAACTGTTTCACAGAGCCATTCCTTTAATATTCGTCATTTCAAATATCCTATCAACCGTACAATAGAAAATACTTTTGATGTAAAGAATTATTACTCCTATATCCAACCCCTTTTCTGCCTAGAAGAGGATAGAAATACTTGAACGAATATTCGTTGATTGTTACAAAGTTACAAAGGGAATCACAGAAGAATATCCCAAAGAATGATCTTCTTAATTTGAGACCACACTGAAAGTGACATAAAATGTTGTAGGCCTGTAGATACTTGTATATTCCAAATGCCTTCATTGATGTTTTTATAGCTCACTTTCCTTCATACTCATTTACTAAACTACCCTACGTGTGTCTCATAGGCCGCGCGGTTAGTCGCTGGCTTCCCACCGCGGCGGCCCGGGTTCGATCCCGGGGGCTGCTCAAGTGGGATTTGTGGTGGACAAAGTGAGGCTGGGGCGAGTTTTCTCCGAGTACTTTGGTTTCCCCTGCCAATCTTCATTCCACCAAATTCTCAATCATCAAAATCACCCGGGGCAGGTATAATAGTCAAATCAGTGGCCACCGTGCCGAGTTGACCCAGCTGGACTACACCCCCCCCACTAAGCGAAATGTGTCTCATACCAGAAGTAACCACACGAAATGAATAGATACTTAGCTTTATATTTATATTGCATTCTGTACCGATGTGATACATGGGAAAATGAAAGACTTACAAGGATAAAAATTACAATATAAAGTAGTATTTATTACTTATTTTATTTAATTGTGACCGGATATGATTCGACATTCAAATGTCATGCTTCTTCGTTGTGATTCTCTAAGTATGGGACAACATCTACATCACACGGAGCAAACGGTCAGTTTCAGTTATGCTTATGTTCTCTAGCGTGTACCCGGGACTGCAGTTCTATAAGGAGCAGCTTCTAAGAATATCTATATGAAGGGACTGGAGAAAATTACACGAACGTCTTAATTTATATTATTCTCCTGAGATTCAAAGTGTCTAGTCATGAAGGACGACGGAGAACTGGGGAAACAAGAAAACATTCAAGATTCTAGTCGGGAAATCTCAAAGGCTACCCCAGGGAGACTTAAGTTTACATGGAAGAAAAATTATATCCTGTATGAGCTGTGATTTTATGTAAGCATCTTGTGGAAATATTGTGGCGCATAGACCCGTTGCTAAGCGGTGACACTGTCAACAGCGACTGTTTCTGGGCATCGGCTCGGTAAACACGTTCCTGTTGCTAGGCAGCAGACTCTTGATAACGCAACAGTTCAACAACAAGAATAGGAAAACTGTGTTTTCTATGTGGTCTGTGCACAGATATAACCGAGAAATTAGGAACTTAGTGAGTAGTCAGTTCTTTTACGGGAATCTGTGAAGAAAGGACTTGAGTCCGGATGTAGAGGAATAGCCATTGTTGGAGCCGTTACCAGGAAATGTCTAGTAACAAACTGAGAACACTAGAATGTGTGCTGTAGTGAACTGTAAAATGTGGAAATAGCGATAGTGTTACAGGTATTTTTAGTTGCGACTTGTAAGTGGTAAATAAATCTAATCGCTAATCCAAACTCCGTCTATAGTGGCACACATTACGTGACAATATGAATGTAATGAACTGGCCTAAGATAAAGGTACACTGAATAGCTGTGATAAACTTCATGTTCCCATGAAGGAAAGGATTCTCCACATTTATGAATAAGTCTGCCAACAGGGCTAACGGATAGAATTGTTTTCTTTTCGTTCTACCATGGTGTGAAGGGAACAGAACCAGTTTTCGAAACACTGGAATAACGTACAGTGTGCAAAATGTCAATCAACAGAAGTAATTTCTTTTCGGTATGGTCAGCACGTACCTGTATGACCCTCATGGGCAGACCGGTCTCCTTGGCGAGTTGCTCCCGGATGTGCCTCGTCGGCTTCGGCGTCTGCGAAAACGCCGTCTTGAGGATCTCCAACTGCTTGGCCTTGATGGTGGTACGAGGACCTCGCCTCTTGGAGCCCGAGTTCCCATCGTCTGGAGACTTGTTCTCCGTCTGCGAGTCCCGGGTCTCTGGGTCTCCGTCCAGCGAACCTGCAAGATAATACTCTATAAAAACGACAAACTTTAACAAAGAAAAATTAATCAGACATGCCCTTAACTAATTCTATGTGATACAGGATAAATTAGACAAGCACATCACTGAATTTATGGTTGATCTGATTAACATCTAAAAGTTGATATTAGTGCAAATATTATGTTTATGGACATTATCAATTTTCCTGTCCTTATTCAAAAACACCTTCATGTTTATGTTGTAAAGCACAACGTTTCGGAGAATGGTGTCTGTCTCCGTCTTCAGGTAAAACCTACTCAGTTGGGCCCAATCTATTACTTCTATATCATCTATATAAACAGGACGGTGTTTTCAGATGGACCCAACTGTAAGTAGGTTTTCCCTGAAGACAGAGACAGAATCAAGTCTCCGAAACGTTGCATTTTACAACATAAACTTGACGGTGTTTTTAGATAAAGATAGGATCATGGATAGTGTACAGAAACATAATATTTGTATCCTTATTATATTTTAATCGTACATAATGAATTACACAAATTGATTAATTATGATATTACGGTTACGCCTACATAAATCAAATCACGTACTGTATACGTAATTAACATCATAATCATCATCCAGAGCTGCCAGTGTAATTCATTTTTCCTTTGGCGCTACAGCCCCAATTTGGGCCTTGACCTACCTCCATGAAACACTCCGTTTCCCTTCGGTTTACTAGATCTTAGGGCCCCCATATACACACAGTTTGGCCTTCCGATCGACCTTACAGGCAAAACTTTCACAGTTTGCTCTCTCCCGTTCCTTCTCCATTCACGCGCAGATAAACTGGCAGGCTTCATGCCACAATCACGGTCTTCCAGCCTATAATACTGAATCACACACGTCACGTGCTACGGTCCTGCAGGCAGAACTGACGGACTGACGGGTTTCCCACAGGCCAACAGTCCAAACGATTGGCCGGCCGGCCGCACCACTCACCTCAGTTTTGCCTTTCAGTCTTCAACTGTGCAGGCCGAACGGAAGGCCAAACTGTTTGTGTATGGGGGCCCTTAGACATTCGGTAGGACTCCTTGGGCGGGTGATCACCTCGTCGCAAAGCCTCTACCTGTACATGAGTGTAATCTACTTCTCCAAGGTCAAGGATTAAAATACCGATAGTATAAATATAGACACAAAAATTTCTTTGCAATTTTTAGAAGCCCGTCCTCAATGTGACGGATAGAGAATTTGATGTAATGTGTTAGCTGACGAATACTGTAGTCTGTAATACTACTCACTGAAGTCTGGTAGACAGACTTCAGTGAGGACTTCACATAGCACAAGCATGCTTCGTGTCCTGTGTTACTCACCCTGGTCCTCCGAGTCGTCCTGGCCCGTCTTACTGTCGTTAAGCGATCCGGGACCCCCTACGATGGGCGTCATATCGCCCGGCGCTAACGAATTGTTGTTCGCTTCGGGGGTGGCAGCGGGATGGACACCCCCGGAGTGGTGGTGCTTCAGACCTCCTGTACCTCCGGGCGCCGTTGCCGTCGTGCTGGTACTATTGTCGTCATCATCATCATCATCCGTTCCTGACCCGAGCATAGACTCTGCAAGCACAATGATAATCTGGTTTCATCAGGGGAATATTGTCATATGTACTGTGGGTTGTACCGCCGTATAGTTCCCATCATCAAGGTCGAAGAGTGGTCGAAACCCACAAGAAGCAGGTGGCAAGCTGAACGCTTGCTTCTTGCTGGTTTCTGGTTTGGCCTACTTTTCGTCTTTGAAAGGGAGGCGATATGTTCCTCCGAAAAGCCTGGTTTTTCTCGAACTACACGGCGCTACATCCCAAAGGACAGTACTCTACATAGTCACAACGGCGTGAGCCTCGAACCCGGCGTGACAGTAATATCAGTAAAATGGCAACCGAATGAAGCACTTATGGCAGATAACATAAAAGTCAAAGGGTAATTTAAAAATTAGTCCTATGTGTATTTTAGTACAAACGATGATACAAATAAATACGATCCCTGTAGGGCACACTTCATCTTTCACGGATCTTGCCCATTTATCTCTACCGTTTCACAATGAACTGCGAAACGATTACTTTTTTAGACCTGTATTAGAGTTCATCCCTCTCATTAGACGGGACACACAAGAATCGGAGAAAAAATACAAGCGGACACACGTCAAACCTCGAGTGGGAGTAAATCCCCCGATTCTAGTCCACTACCCCTCGGCCAGTCACTACGGGCCTACTATTTCATGTACGAATAAATGTTCATAATTCAATACGGACGTAAACGTGTTGACGCTGATCATTCTGAGCCCTTATTTATTTGGATGATTATAGATGATCATGAAATTTATTTCTAATTAATTCTCGGTAATTTAAATTTCAGAAGTCTTATGTTTCGATATTACTGGAAATGTATCGTGATCTATAATATCGTATTTCATCGTCTGGGACGTGCAATACGGTGTTAATGTTGAAATTTCTAGATTCTGGCAGAAACAAGAAGTCCGGAGTTATGACATTTACGATCACTCATAAATTTAGCTCGGGTACAGGGAACCGGACGCGCCTAAAAGGACAGGTCAGAGCTTGTTACAATTGCCTGTGAATGAGGGCCAGTATGATTGGGTTGCCTCGTTCAAGCTTCCCACGGAAGATGGGATGAAATGTATATGTCAACACCATCTTTCGAATTCTCGACGTGGGGTGTGCAAGCCATTCCACAAAGAGAGAGACTTTCACAATATTCCGAACTGAACGGACGTGACCCTTGCACGCTCCGAGACATAGCTAGCCGATAGTAACGCTGTAACTTAAAGCTAAGAATACATTAATTTAACAGTGTGGTGAATTAGGAGGTGAATAAACGTCAATTGGCTCAACTATCAGAAAAACGCTTTCTTCGGCATCGCTACCCTGAGACTCATGCAAACCGACCCAGCTAGTTTCCCGTACCTATACCGATCTTCCTTAGTTTGATCTGTGAGGACAACTTCCAGTAGCCATCATACACTGTCCTAAGGTAGAAACAGGTGTAGCAGGGATAGCACCATTCCGACTGCGCCGATACAAGCAAAGGCGGGTTGGAAAAGAGCGGTGTTAGTGTAAAGCTATCCCTGTAACAGGCCGTGCAGACCCATAGGGTTGTGAGACGTCGAGGCTCCCACATTTTCTAGAAAATCGGTTCATAGATGGCGGTGAGGTTATCAGTCTTACTCGCTGGCGTACATTTCAAAGATGGCTTCTGGGCTTTATGGTGTTAACGACTGTGAAGAGTATATTACTTTGTGGGATATGACGCCATATAACCTGGTAAAATTTACCGATCATTTACCCATTTTCCAGACCGAAAGATAAGTTTATTTTCTTTAAGTTTCTGTTGAACTTTCAGTTACAAACACATCACAATTCCATAATAAACTGTCATTTCAGTCTTCAGCTCCCGAATGTTGCTTGATGCATGATACGGAATCTATAGAACACAGCGATGAGATGGAATGGACTTACGGAACGAGTGAATGAAGAAAGGCAGCGAAATATTTGTTGCATATTAAAGGATTTTGGCAATGGTACAGGACACTCAGAATTACTGGAGTTTTTTACTTTGTCCACCGCCCGGTGTTCTAGAAGAGAACAGACAACAATTCGGAACCTGGATGTGTTTCCGTCCTCAGGGCCGACAAGCGGCGGTCGCTCGGTTGGTATAGTTCGCTTGCGGACTGAAACCAAGGGATTTGTTTGTTTTCCTTTAGAAGAGGTAACCTCAAAATTCTTTCTAAAGTAAGTGTCTCCGCCTCACCCGAGAAAGGGAAACAGACCCAGTTTCCGAAGCGTTGTGTGTTCTCTAGTTTCTAGAATACCGGGCGATGAACAGAGTCTAAGAACCTAGTACGAGTGATTCTGATTTGTTGCACTGGCAACCACAGGGACGAAGAAGAAGAGGAGAAGGAGGAGGAGAAGGAGAAGAAGAATAATAAAGATGAGAAGGAGGAGAAGGAGAACAAGGAGAAGAAGGACGAGAAGGAGGAGGAGGAGAAGAAGGAAGAGAGGGAGAAAAAAAGAAAGACGAGAAGAAGGTTGAGGAGGAGAAGAAGAAAGAGGAGAAGGAGGAGGTGAAGTTGGAGAAGAAGAAAGATGAGAAGGAGGAGAAGAATGTTGAGGAGGAGGAGAAGAAGAAAGAGGAGGTGGAGGAGAAGGAGAAGAAGAAGAAGAAGAAGAAAGATGAGAAGGAGGAGAAGAATGTTGAGGAGGAGGAGGAGGAGGAGAAGAAAGAGGAGGTGGAGGAGAAGGAGAAGGAGAAGGAGAAGAAGAAGAAGAAGAAAGAGGAGAACAAGAAAGTTGAGAAGGAGGAGAAGAAGAATGTTGAGGAGGAGGAGAAGTAGGAGAAGAAAGATGACACCTTCATATAGGCCTAAGTCGAAAACATATATAAAGTCTATTTTGAAATTTCTAGATTTTTATAAGAGGGAGAATGGGAGAATGGAGTAGCCTACCCTAGCAGCTCCCCACGACAAACCCACGAAGGGATAATGCGAATAAGAATAAGAAGGAAAATGCATTATAAACAATGCGTTGATGAGTTTCCCACTTTTTGAGCGCTGCTGAGGCGATTATAGAACAAAAACGAGCAGCGGAATACATTCCCTTAGCCTTATCGAATTCAGCGGGGTCGGCTGGAAACAAAACACGGTCCAAATAACGACCTCTCTTCAGTAGGGACGGACTTCTAGGAAATGTGACAAGGCCCCCTGCTAGTCGTGTCTTGTGGCTGCCATGGAAACCCTCTTGTGATTCGCAACAGAGGCAGGGAGTACAGCGGACATATCTGTTTCGTTTCTGATTGAAATCTCTGATAAGGTGCAGGAATACAAATTTTTTCGATATCGAAATTAAAAATAAAAGTCCCAGTTCAGAAAACATAACATCCATCTTCTGAGGCGTCTAGTAAATAACAGTTATGGGGTTAAGAATGCGGTTTAGATAAACAAACATATTGTCAAGTTACTGGGGTTTTGGACTTTTTCCATCGTCCGGAATTTTAGGTAACGGAGAACACGACGTTTCGGAAACTGGATCTGTTTCCTTCTTCAAGTGATAAAGGAAGAGACATACTCAGTTGGTCATCCACCATTGTCAGAACACTTTAGAATCTACGTGTATATTGTCAAGCGTTTGCTTTTCCGTGACCAATAATGTCGGGTTTTGGATTGGCTGATTGGATTTATTTACGCCTTATTTTACAGTCACTCTTAATCACGATCAATTACAGCAGCTTAATGTAAATAACTGCCTAAGATTTGCTCCATTCTGACTGGACTACGAGTGTCTTCTCTTCTAGCCTGCCTTCTAGTGTTCTGGCTTGGTTCCGAGTTTCTCTATGGCTGCCTTCGAATTATGAATGCTTCTATTTGGCACACCGACCAAGATAATTCAGTTATTCGGAGGATCTCGAACTAATGGCTGTGAAGATTACTATCTTTACTGATGCTACTATCTGGATTATCAGACTATACGGCGTCACATTCCAGAAGACGGTGCTTGACAAGATGTAATTCACCATACAAATTTGGACAGAGAGCTATGGCAAATTTTCAGGATTGGATGTTCTCACAGCGGTGGTTATGAAGAGTTCTATCTTCTTGGATATAACGCCGTATAGGTAAGGCAAAACAAAAGAACTCCGCGGCTTTTAGTCCGCAAGCAAACTATACCGATCGAGTGACCGCCGCTTGTCGGCGAAGTTAGTGCCAACTATTGCGGATAGAGAGTGTCGCGTGGTCAGCGCAACGAATTCCCACGGCCATTAATCTCGGTTTTCTAGACCGGAGCCGCTACTTATTATTTCAATCAGCTCCTGAATTATCCTCACGAGGCTGAGTGGAACCCGTTCCAGACCCACTACTTCTCAGAAAATCTGATAGCGCCGGAATCGAACCCGGAACCTCTGGATCTGTAGCCAGGAATTCTGACCACTAGACCATAGAGGCGGTCATAGGTAAGGTAAAATGTAAGGTAAATTTGACCCTGTGCTTAACTAATTAAGCACTATGCCATGAAGGTGTATGGGAGAATGGATATATAGACCCACGTTTTCTTGACCTCGGCACTAGCTGGAGTTGAGTGGTCAGCTTCACACCCGTAAAGTCCGTTGAAAATTAAAGGACAATTCGGAGGAAAATATAGCCTCCATCTTCATGGTCGAAGAAGAAGCCAAGCAAGAAACCAGCGTGAAAGCAAGTGGCAGGCAGAGCGAGGCTACTTTCCGGCCGGTTGCTTGGTTTATACTTCGGCCCTGAAGATGGAGGCGACATGTTCATACGAAACGATATTTGACTTTCAACCGACTACAAGGCGTTATGCCAAATTTCATCGTTTCTTTTAAATGGGTTGAGAGTTTATGTAAAGAGGTGTAGAAACCGGTGATCTAAGTAGACTGTGCAGTGGCGACGTCACACAGAAGACGAGTGCAAGCTATGAAGCCACCCCCCGCCGCGCGCTGCATTGTGTCCATCCAGGCGTGATCCATTCCCTCTGCTGGCGCCAGTTTATCCGGTCTCGAACACGCGTGTCCTATCAATTCTCCTCAC